CGCCTGCCCCCCCCCCCCCCCGGAGGAATTACAGCTTTAGCTGTTTCCTAAAACTAAAATCCAGAACAAAAAATTAAACAAATGCTGTTGTCTGAGAAGCTTCTCTATGCTTTTGCTATTTTCATGCAAATCTGCAACGTCTCGGTAAAATTTAAGTTTCAGGGTGGGGCGGGGGGGGGGGAGGGGGGACTTTTTACTTTTTTATTTGAAACTTGAGCTTCACAGGTGCTGTTTTGGCTCCCACAAAGAGGTTTCGGCATCTGAGGACTACCAGAAAGGGTATTCCCCTAAACCAGAGACCAGGCTATACACCAGATGCAGCACATCCAGTCCAGACATATGAAGAGATGTGACAAGGTATGCACGGCATACACAGTATCTATGCTCTCGTGGATGGAACATGTTCTTGTTGCTACATCCCTTTAAAACTCTAGAATTTCTATTTTTAATATTCTATATTGCAGCACTTTAAACCTAGCAAAATTAGATTATATCACTCACTATCAGATGCAAACCCAGAAAAAGGTTCCATTGGTTCTATTATCATAAAGCTTTTACCAAACATGAAGCCCTAATATTTACTGTGAAAATGTAAATGCTTATTTCATTCTGAATACTTAAACTACAAACAGTATATATTTTAAAACACAACTGAAGTTAACTACATTGTAGTTCCACGTGATATAATCCAGGTAGTATTCAATGAGAGGTTTACATGCACACATACCTCCAAAGAATGTGGAAGTTCCTGCCAAGTTACCAGGACCTTTCTGGTATCTGAACATCCATCCCACTGTTGAGTCATCCTGTATGTGTGCATGGATTCCTTAACCAGAAGGCAGGGACGGGTCCCAGAAGATGAACTGACCTGTGAAGCCACCGACCAAAGAAAAACTGTTCTGCAATGTCTGGGAGACCCACAGGAGGGACTAAACTCAGTTTTGGAACAAAGACTGAGATGAGTAGTACATTCTGCACTGCAGCGCAGTTGCGGAAGTAGATCAAGGGGAATGTGACAAATAAATTAATTTTACCAAATGTTATCTGTAAACTATAATTTAATTAATGGGAAGGTGTAAATGTTGGTGCAAATCTAATATTCGCATTATCTACAATTTTAGTCACATCAGTTCTCTTACGCAACACTGATACACCTCTGGATTCTTGAATATTACTTAAAGAAATTACAAACCTGGATAAAAAATGTTAATTTTTTCAGCTTACTGTATACCAAACCCATATGAATCAAAACAGTTATTCTTAGAGATGACTTCTAATATTTTAAAATTTAAGGACTTTTGGGTTTAAACGTTACTCACTTTTACTCCAAAAGCATGCTTACTGCATCACAATAACCTTGACAGTAAACAAACTATTTTGGCTAGCTAAACTCTATCTGGGAAAAAAAGACAGACACTGATGATGTGCAAACACACTCCCATATACTAATATGAAAAAACTACCCTGTATCTTAGTATGAAAGAGCATCTTGATCTACAATAAGAAATATACCCAAAAACCTCCAAATTCAGTTACCCATTTTACATTATTTGAAGATTGTTTAACGGAAAGATATACGAGCAGCAAGACACATATTACTAAATCATGACAGGTTTGATATGAAAAAGTAGATTTAAAAAAACTGAAGATCATAGAACAGATTGGGTTGGAAGGGACCTTAAAGATCATCTCGTTCCAACCCCCCTGCCATGGGCAGGGACACTCTCCACTAGCCCAGGTTGCCCAAAGCCCCAAATAAGCCTCCAGGGATGGGGCATCCACAACTTCTCTGGGCAATCTGTTCCAGTGCCTCACCACCCTCACAGGGAAGAATTTTTTCTTAGTATTTAATCTAAATCTCCCCTCCTTCACCTTAAAGCCATTCTCCCTTGTCCTGTCACTACATGCCCTTGTAAACAGTCCCTCTCCAGCTTTCTTGTAGGCCCCTTTGGGTACCAGAAGGCTGCTGTAAGGTCTCCCCAGAGCCTTGTGTTCTCCAGGCTGAACCTCAGCTCTCTCAGCCTGTCTTCATAGCAGAGGTGCTCCAGTCCTCTGATCTTCTTTGTGGCCTCCTCTGGACTTGCTCCAACAGGTCCATGTCCTTCTTGTGCCGGGGGGCTGACAGCTGGACACAGTACTCCTAGGGGGGTGGGGTGTGTGTCTCACAAAAGCAGAGTAGGGGGGGAGAATCCCCTCCGTCGACCTGCTGGTCACACTTCTTTTGATGCAGCCCAGGACGCGGTTGGCTTCCTGGGCTGCAAGCACATGTTGCCAGGTCATGTTGAGCTTCTCATCCCCCAACACCCCCAAGTCCTTCTCCTCAGGGCTGCTCTCAATTGATTCTCTGCCCAGCCTGTAGCTGTGCTTGGGACTGCCTTGGCCTTGTTGAACTTGATGTGGTTCGCATGGGCCCACCTCTCAAGCCTGTCAAGGACTCTTTGGATGGCATCCCTTCCCTCCATCATGTCAACCCACCACACAGGTTGGTATTGTCGGCAAACTTGCTGAGGGTGCACTTGATACCACTGTCCATGTCACTGACAAAGACATTAAACAACACTGGTCCCAATACCAGCCCCTGAGGAACACCACTCAAACATCAAGCTGTTGATCACAACTCTGAGTGTGACCATCCAGCCAATTCCTTATCCACTGAGTGGTCCATCCATCAAATTCACGTCTCTCCAATTTAGAGACAAGGATGCCGTGCAGGACAGCATCAAATACTTTGCACAAGTCCAGGTAGATGATGTCAGTTGCCCTCCCCTTATCCACCAACACTGTAGCCCCATCATAGAAGGCCACCAAATTTGTCAGGCACAATTTGCCCTTAGTGAAGCCATGTTGGCTGTCACCGATCACCTCCTTATTTTCCATGTGCCTGAGCATAGTTTCCAGGAGGATCTGCTCCATGATCTTGCCAGGCACAGAGGTGAGACTGACCAGCCTGCAGCTCCCCATGTCTTCCTTTTTTCCCCCCCCTCTTTAAAAATGCAAGTTATGTTTCCCCTTTTCCAGTCAGTGTAAACTTCACCAGACTGCCACAACTTCTCAAATGTGATAGAGAGTGGCCTAGCAATTTACAAGTAGATATTTACAAAGTATTGTCTTCAACCAGTAATAACACCTTTAGAAACCTTCCAACGCTGAACTTTCTTATTTTTCTTCAAAAAATGGGAGACATGAGGCTTTAGATTCTCCCAGGTCATACCATCATCTTTTGAAAATCTACCCAGTTAGTATCAGTTTTATAGTTGTAAAGTTTAACACAGGTGTAGAATGTGTGTTAATTATGAATACAAGAGAAGCAGCCCCATCTCCTAAGCCAAAAAAACCCACACTCAAGTACTGAAATCTGTGCAAGTAAAGCTGTTGCTCAGCTCATATCAGAAAATTTAAAAGCCACATAGTCATGCTTGTCTATAATTAGAAAGCTGACATACATTAGTAACTCAGTAGATGGCATCTGAAGAAGTTTGTAATTTATGGTAGCCTTGTATTGCACAGACAATCTACAAGTATTACATATTCTCCTGTGTTGTGAGCAGACTGCCCCTTTGCTAACTCTGCATGCACATAATATTCATTTGCAAAAGTGCTGTCAGTTTCTAACACATAAAAGTCAGGTTTATAATGACACATGTAAACAGAACACATAAATAACATTGTAATTCAGAGCACAAAACCCCAAGATGCAATTTAAAGATTCAACACAGAAGTGTATTGAGTGTAAGTTTATAAACCACATGACATTTTGAAGCAACTTTCTTACCTGAAGAATGCTTCCAAGTTACAATAGGCAATAGATGAATGAACTGAGGCAGCTGCAGCCATGGGGCACTCAGAAGCATCTGTCTGCTTTCCCCTCCTGTCCAGATAAAAAGCCACAAAAACTGTTATTAGTTTTGAAGAAAAAAAAATCCTTGTATCATTACACCCCACGCAAAAATGACAGGAAAATACACTGACATCAATTTATACATTTTCTTGCCTTAGTAAAGGAGCTTGAGGGCATCACCTTAACACAAGGCAGCTTATCCCACATTGCAAATACTGTGTCATTGATACAAACGTGAGGTCAGATTAAGTATAAAACTGATGGGAAACAACTGTTGCAACTGCATTTACACTGTACTGGACAACAGTACAATGTAACCAGTAAGTGATTCAATATTTGCATTATCATTACTATTAGTACTGAAGTTTGGTAAACAACACTGTCTATAACTACTAACATGTAAGAGTCATGGAAAAACAAAGAAAAAAGTGACAATGGTTTTTTTCCTGCCTTTTTCCCTTCATTAGCAAGGCTGTTTATTGGCTTAGGTCACTACGTGACAGATTCCTACCCTCAAACGTGCAGCAGCCTTAAGTCACCATGAGGTAGGGCCCTGGGTACCCACACAGTCACGTGGCAAGGAGCAAGACAGGAGCAGGAGTCCAGCAAGAACACACCGCCCAGCTGGCAGCCTCCTCCCTGTTTATGAGCTCCCAGAAAGCAGATGACAGCCTGCACAACCTGGCAGGTGTATCACAAATTGCCACATCGGGAGGGTGTGGATTAAAAGTGAAATTTTAGTGAAATTTGTGAAATTCAGGCTTCTGAATTTCACAAATATTTGGAGTGGTTACCTAAAACAGCTGAATACTTCCTCCTAACCATAGACTACCTCCTCATGAAACGAGCTTCTCCTTCAAAGACCCATCCTAGAATCCCTCAGTGCAGAAGGAAGTTTATACTTCTACATTGCAGATAAAAGTAGCAAAATCTTAGATACCATTTAAAAAGTTACTGACAGTTCTTGTTAACAATAAATAATTCATCAGGTGTACAGTTTAACGATGCTTCAAGTGTCCAAGGCCACAAGAACCATCCAAAGCAGCTTAAACTATGTGAACTCATCTAAGCAGCAATGTTTATAATAAAAAAAAAAATGCATCTCTGATAACAAATTTGTATTTGATTAACTAGTTAGGTAAACAACAGTGAATTGTTAGTCTAAGGTAGAGTTACCCAAATTATTATCAAAGATAAACAGCAGCAACACAGCTGTTGAAATGAAACACTTTGATAGTTGATGAGGTTTACTGAATCTATTCATATCCTCATTCGTGTAGAGCAAAGCATCAAATAGTGGTGCTCTACCCTACACAGCTGTTTTCCTCCACAAACTCAATGACCTCAATATCCTGAGAACAAGTATTTTGCACAGCTGCATGTTATCCTACTCAAACAAACTCAAATCCACAAAAATCATCAGGGATCCAGAAAAACTCAAGTTAAATAATTGTTTCTGCAGCTTATCCTGGTAACAGAACCATAAACTTCTGCTAAAATAAAGACATTAAAATCTCTTCCATGACATGGGGTCTCAACAGGGGATCCTGAGAAGTGGTCAGCAGCAGCTCAGTTCTGCTAGCAGCTGTTCACTACTTCCCATGCTTTCATGGGAGTTGCAAAAAAAAAAAAAAAAAAAGAAGTTTTATTACAATAAACCAACATATCACAGATTCAAGCCACAGAGAAGTAACTGTTTCCTCTGATTTGCAGATTCTCAACACCAGGACTCAGCAAGAATTAATAAAACACCATAAAATCAGGGTTCTAATAGAGACAGTAAAAAAACCCAACCCAAACAAATCAAAACAAATCCAGCAGAAACGAAGCTCCTGAGAAATAAAAAACCTTTCAAATAACTAAGCTTGAAAATCCACTGGGATGAAGTAGGCATCGTGATAATTTTTAACTTTCTAACACTTGGAAATGAGTGTTTATAGATCTGCCTTTAACAGTGTAAATACTTGTCACGTTAATCATGGTGTCTTTAAGAAATGACAGTTCAGTGATAGTATCAAGGTCATCCACTTGCAATATTAAGGCATTCAGAGTCCGTCTGGGGAACAGCTACTATACCCAAGAAAGGCAGCGCTGGAAAGCTGCTCCAACTGCTGATGCAGCCTCAAATGCAATTGCTGAATATGTTTCAAAACACAGATCAAAAATGCATTTTAACCGTAAGTTTCAGAAGATCTAATCCTTCAGCGTGATGAGGTCCAAACCTAAGCTTTTTCTTCCTTTAGGACACAGTGATCTCTTAAGGGGTGGCATTTTCTTTTCTGAACAGGATTTTTTTTTAAAAAAAATCAATCCTCACTCACTCTTCTCAAAACTGAGCCTCAGAGCCTCTCACATGGGATTTATCACTTTTGAATATGTTCATAACAAAACCTCAGAGACCTAAACATAACAGCATTCAGCTGAACATCTTAATGCTTGCATTAGTTTTAACTGAATAAATACAAATGCATTGCCACTTTTAGTGTTATTTAGGTGACAATAATTTAGCTATTCATGTTCTACTGATGCACAATTTTTAGCAGAAAACCACTCCTATTTGAAGAGCTTTTAGACCATGAACAACACCCAAGACTTCCACTGTTTTACTGAATGACACATCTGAATTTCCACAGCTCTTTAAGAGTTCTCTTGAGAGCTTACCCAAACATTACGCTTCAGAAAAACACCCCAACATTCTTTCCACAGGTTTTCTAGAAATATTTCGACCCGAGTTTCAAGCCATTCAAGCTCTTTATATTGAAAAAACCCCTCCTTTTCCACCCGAGCATCCCCAGCGCCCCGCTCCCAAGGCGCTCGGGCAGACGCCCACCCCGGCAGGTCTCTCAGGTTATCGTGCCTGCGTGGGGACAGCCCAGTGACTTAAGGGAGGGTACAAGGCGACTGTAAAGTACATCAAACTCTTCCTGCACCGAGAGGCTTTGAATTTGTGCACCCGAACCCCCAGCACAAGGCAGAGCATTACCTTTCCCGGACGCGCCCTCCGCAGCTCTCCCCGAGGGGAGGGGAGG